TTTGATATTTGCCATTTTAATGATGATGAGTCATGGAGTGGGCTTCATTGTGTTCCTCTTGAATGGGACCCTCTGTGCTTCCTGGACTTGTGTGACTTTTTCTCTCCTCCAATTAGGGAAGTTTTCCATCATGACTTTTTCAAACAGGTTCTCTGTCCCTTGCTCCTCCTTTTCATCTTCTGGTATCCCTATTATATGGCTATTATTACGTTTCAGGTTCCCTATTATATGGATATTATTACGTTTCAGGTTGTCCTGCATTCCCCTAAATGCCTCTTCATTCTTTTTGAGTATTTTTTTCATTTTCTTGCTCTTTTTGGGAGCTTTTTTCTACCTTATCCTCCAGCTCGCTGATTCAGTCCTCAGCTTCATCTAACCTGCTTTTCATTCCTTCGACTGTGTTCTTCAATTGAGAAATTGTATTCTTCATTTCCTCTTGTCTCTTATTGATAGTTTCTAAGTCCTTTTCCATGCTGATATAGTTTGCAGTAAGTTTCTTGTAATTTCCCTGCAGTTTTTTGTAATTCTCTCTGAGCTCACTGAGCTCATTGAGCTTCCTTAGAACCATTGTTTGGAACTCAATATCTGATAGTTCCCTTGCCTCTATTTCATTTAGTTCTCTTTCTGGGGATTCCTCCTTTCTCCTCGAGTGGGGCATATATGTTTGTCTTCCCATTATTTGTGAGACTCTTCTCTTTTGCTTCTGATTCTTAAGTTGATTTGTCTTGATCTCCTGACTTTGTGGTGTGAACTTCTCTGGTTGGAGACATCTGTTTTTACTTTCTGGATCGGCCTCTGATGATGTCGATGTTGACCCTGTCTGACCTTAGACAGTCTGTCTGTTCGAGACTTCCAGGAATCTACTGTTTGTGGCTTTCTCCTTCAGCTGTTAATCTAGTCACTCTGCACTGAGCAGGCTGCCTTAGACAGCTCAAGGCGGGGCGGAGTCCCTCCTGGGGACGGGGTTATTGGGTCCTCTCTAGCTGCTGCCGTGTAGGGGAGGAGTCGGCACTGGGATCCCGCCAGCTACTCTCTCCATTCTCTCCCCAAAGCCTTTGTCTCCAGTCTCTCCTCAAGTGGTGCCAGACCACTCTGAGTCCCCTTTAGCCAGGGATCTACTGTCTGTGGCTGCCACTCTCCACACAGAAGGCAGCTTAGACAGCACAGGGCAGCGTGGAATTCCACCTAGGGGTGGGGCTATTGGTTCCTTTGACCCTGGTGGTGCTCAGAGGGAGTGGTCTCTGCCATACCAACATGGCTGCTGCCACATGGGGGGTGAGTCGGCACTGAGATCCCGCTGGCTGCTCTGTCAGTTGTCTCCCCAAAGCCTCCTTTCCCAGTCTCTCCTCAGGCATCTCTAACCCACTCTGCCCCTGCCTTTGCCAGACACCAGGGTAAGTGGCTGCAAATAAAAATTTATATGTTGGCCGTTTAAGTAGTTCTTTGTGTCTTCAGCTGCCTGTCTCTGGCAGAGAGCAATCCTGCCGCTTTCCACAGCTGGCTGTTTTCTATGAACTTTTTAGGCTCTGGTGTTGTGGGCTAGAGATCCCCGCTTTTGGTTTAGACCCCGCTTTTCTCAGGGGGTTCCATCTGGCTGTTTCAGTAACCTTCTGGTGCTGCTGCACATGGGCGCCCTGCCCGCCTTCTCGAGTCTCTACCGCATTCCTTACCAGTTAGATGCGCTAAAGCTGATTTTTCTGTCTCCGAAGTTACAAGGCTCCCCTCTCATTATTGTTCAGTTGTTTGTTTCAGGTGATTTCTCCACAATTTAGGTGTAATTCCAGGTTGGTCCTGGGAAGAGGTCAGTGTGACTTCCACTCACTCCTCTGCCATCTTGATTCCTCCAGTACTATTCTTACGTCAAACCAAACAAGGACAACACAGGAAGAGAACACTACAAACCAATATCCCTCATGAATATAGATATAAGAATCCTCAACAAAATAGGAAACTGGGTCCAGCAGCATAAAAAAGAATTATACGCTATCAAAAAAAGGAATATACAGGGTGGCCAAATGGACTTTAAGGAAGGCATGGGTGGTTCAGTATATGAAAACCAATCAAGTATGACACCATTTTGATAACGGATATGAACCACATGATTATCTCAATAGACACCAAAAAAGCACATATAGAAAACTATCACTTTTGCCTCGTAAAAACACAACAGGCCTGACTGGTGTGGTTCTGTTGGTTGAGCATGATTCCACGAATCGAAAGGTTGCCAGTTCTATTCCTGGTCAGGACACATGCCTAGCTTTCAGATTCAGCCCCTGGTTGGGCGAATAAGAGAGGGAAATTATCAGTTTCTCTTTCCCATCAGTGTTTTTCTCCTTCTCTCTCTCCCTTCCCCTCTCTCTAAAAATAAATAAATAAAACCTTTTTTAAAAAAAGAAATTAGGAATAGAAGAAATCTTCCTCAACCTGATAACAAGTATCAATGAAAAACTGCTAGCTTAACTGCTGAGACACTGAAAGTTTTCCCTCTAAAATGAGGAACAAGACGAGGGTGTCCACTCTTGCCACTTGTATTAAACATTGTACTGGAGTTTCTAGACAGGGTAGGTAGGCAAGAAAAAGAAATAAAAGGCTTCTCAATTAAAAAGGAAAACTTTCTGTATTTCCAGATGTCATGATCTTAAATATAGAAAGTCTTAGGAAATAATAACAAACAAAAAACTAGTAGAGCTAATAAACAACTTCAGCAATTTGTAGGACAGAAAATCAGTACACAAAAGAAGTCATACATGTTTATACCAGCATTGACCAATCAAAGTGAAATTAAGAAGACAGTTGTATTTACAGTAGTATCAAAAAGTGAAATACTTAAGAATAGATTTAACAAAGTAGGTAAACAAAATTGTGGGCTGTCCATCCAATGGAGTATCATTCAGCCATAATAATTAATGAAGTACTGATACCTGCTATGAGAATGAACCATGACTCCATGCTAAATGAAAGAAGCCAAACACAAATGGTCACATATTATAGTACACCATTTATTTAAAATGTACAGAATAGACAAATCTATGGAGTCATAAAGTAGATTAGTGGTTGCCAGAGGGTAAGAATAGAGGGAGGCAAGAAATGACTGCTATAGGGTAATGAGTTTCCCTTTGGGATGATGAAAAACTTTTGGAATTATCATGATAGTTGCACATTCTTATGAATATATTAAATACCACTAAATTTTATATTTTAAAAGTATGAATTTTATGTAAATTATCTCCTTTTCAAAATGTTATTGTAGAAAAAGGGAACCTGAGGCTATTTATACAAATGGCTCAGTACAAGTATTTCTTCTAAAATATATTCGATAATGTGTCTTTCATTAAAATGTGCAGTGAGCCCTGGCCAGTGTAACTCAGTTGGTTGGAGCATCGTCCCACATACCAAAAGGTCACAGGTTCAATTCCTGATCAGGGCATGTCCCTGGGTTGCAATTATGATCTCCAGTGGGGGCATTTGCAAGAGGCAGCTGACTGATGTTTCTCCCCCTGCTCTCCCTCCCTTCCCTTCTCTCTCAAACCTATACACATGTCTTCAGGTGAAGGTATTTTTTAATGTCCAATTATATTCAAGAAAGTTCTTAATTTTTAGTCTTGTTAACAAATTATTCTCTTGAATCTTTATAGGCTATTCTTCAAGTTATATTTTAAGTAGCTAAAGGGTTTGATGCTCAGGAATAATTCATTCAAAATTATTATTTTCTCTACAGTAGTAAATGAAATTTTATCTTTATATTTATTCCCATTTTGTTCTCCTGGGAATTAGGAGGGTCTTCTTTATACTCAAAGTAGAACTATTTATATATTGTGTTGAGTTTTCTATAGCCCTCAGCTAGAGCTACTCTCTATAAAACCACATAATATTACATTTATTTAGATTAAGGTTTTTAGATCTTGGTTTTCATTCAGGAAATGTATGTGTTCTAACTTAGTTGCATAATGATATACTTTATAGTTAATATGAAACACTAGGACTTTACATGGTTAAAATGTTCCTTTGTGTAAATTTTATGATCCCAAGAATTTCCAGAATTGGTATGTGATATTGAATAGGTTTTAGATGTCAACAAAACAGCCTCTTATATAAAAATTGCATGATAGTTCTTTCCTTCTTTCCAAAAATATTCAGTGAAGGTCCTGAACATTGCTATATTCTATTAGTTGCTGATTCTTAAAGGGAAAAAATTGCCTAAGTATTTAAAGCTTATTGCATTCAAATGTATTCCTCCTTGAATGTCCTGTTAAATTTTTCTTACAGTGGAAAAGCACAGTCTCCTAAGATACCTTGCAAAATACACACATACACACACACACACACACACACACAGTCTTTCAAAAATAGTTATTTCTTATTCTGAAGTGGAATTGATCACCTTAGTAATTATTTTCACCCTTGAAGGGCCCTTTATCCAAAAAACGTCTCCTTGCTTATTTAATAACACTCATAGATATTGTTAGCCCTTGAAATATGAGCTATTTTAATTCTTAAATAATTGTTTTTCTGTTAATTCCAAAAGAATGGAAGCTATAATTTGGGAAGGGGATGCAGAGAATAGGAACTAAGATGAGTAATAAGAATGAAAATATGGGAGGAGTTGAAAGGATGCTACAAAATTACTCTCTCTCCCATTGCTTGAATTACTAGTGAAATGAAATGTACAAAATGATGACAAATGTTGATTTTTCCAGGTTGTCAAATTAAGGTATGCTTTTCAAGTAATTGATAGACAACCTTCTGGAAAACCTGGGGAGAAATGTGCTGGTTTTGCTCACTTGACCTTAAGCAAAGCATTTTTAGTGAGTAAAATTGCTTTGATTAATATTTTATTTAACTGTACAATAAGTTCTAGTAAATCAGAACAAGAAAATATTTGCGATAAAATAATTGCAAGTAAATTTTGTTTACCTGTGCCTATTCAAAGAACAGGCTTTTGTGATTTCTAATCAATGCGGTAATTTTCTTTCAAATTTAAGGTTTGGTTTGATTTACAGGTGAACAGTGTTGACCTCAGAACTGCCAGCCATGAGCAGGCAGCAGCCGCTTTGAAAAATGCTGGTCAGGCTGTCACAATTGTTGCACAGTATCGACCCGAAGGTAATATAATTCTTGCTGTCTATGTTTATTAGTTTGGTTTTAAGAATTTTCCTCTTAATAATGTTTAACTTTCCAAGCTTAACTTTCCTTTTTGTGTTTTCATCTGATTGATTAATCTGTTATGTGTACAGTCTGAATCTAATTTACTCTCCAGGTCAAAGTGTATTAAATGGGATTTAGGAATTTGTATCTGCAAACTCTTTTGAGTATTTCACCATTATTTGGATTAATTTTTATGTGTTTATTTTTTAAAATCTGCCCTCTAACCAAACATATACCTTTTAACATACCTTTTACTAACTCAGTAATCCAAAAGAATAATAAAATCCTTAAGATAGTAATATCGCCAAAGAAAATTAGGTCATCCCAATTTTTTCTAACTTTTGAATTAGATTATATTTATTAATATCAAGGTTTAAGATATGTTTCTAATAGCCTCTATTGTTATTTAAAGTAAAGAGAGAGAATACAAGTTTGGGATATAGTATGTTTCTTGATAGTGAAGTAACATGGACATGACCTTACTAAGTTCCTAGGTGAAGAAAATGGTACTGGAAAATTTAAGTTCATGCCCTATTAAACATACATAAGACTCTAGTGTGCATTAATATAAACACTTCTCTAATAAAACCTCAGTGGAATTTAAAAAGCTTAAACACCCAAAGAAACACATAGCATGGTAGTTAATGTTCATAAAGAACATGATGAAGGAAAGAATGATGTGACTAAAGGAGGCAAGTAAAACATTCTGTAATACAGCAGCTATTATATTTATAATTTTTTCTTGGAGTGGAATATTTTTGGTGACAAAATCTAATATGTTTTTTAGCTGATCAAAGTAGCATGTTGGGTATTGCTTGTTAATTCATAAGTTTTTTTACGTAAGAGGTAAATTCCAAATAAATTCACATTAACAGAACAAATAGTGATTAATATATGAAGTCAGAATGCCAACTTATTAATCTTTGTGAGAAACAAAGCTTCAGGTAGGGCCACATTCGTTTTTATCTTTTAGCCAACACTTCTTGCCCTATAGGTATACTATATAGAAGTCAAGTTTGATCATGGTTGCTTAGTATTATAGAAAGCATCTATCTATATGTTTATAGTCTACATAAGAATGATTAAAGGGTAAGTCAGTATCTTCTCCATGACCTCCTGGAAAACACACGGAAGCAACCAAGAAAATGAAACATATACATGCACTTCTACCCATACAACTCCACCTCACATTAAGCAAAACTAAGAAGACAACTAGACTACCTGGACAACAAAAGATAGGCAAAGGTTGCTTAAGCAGCTTGAGATCTGGCAGAGGCTACCTAGAAAGAGGGGGAAAATTTAAAAAAAAAAAACATGGAATGTTGAGAATGCTCGGTTGTGGCAGAATTTAGAATGTGGCAGAAGATTGCACTTCCTAACGATAAGGGGCTTTTTTTTAGGTTAAAAAAAAAAAGTATCCCTGTTTATGGCAGGCCTCATGGTAATTGGAGTGAGCAGGCTAGAGCAGGAACCATCCTTGATATGATTTGGTTTAAAGAAGTAGAGAAGCCCTATTTGAATAAAATAATGTGTCTTCATAGCATCAGAAAACATAACAGTCTTTTGGTTTTAAAGGCTATAAAGAACCTGTGCTTTTATTCCCCTGTACCCCAAAACTTTCTGGTCTAGCCAAGTAGCTTGTCCAGCAAAATAGAGCCCATTAGTAAGTAATTTAAAGTAACTGGCCTAGTATTCATACAAAAATATTAATAAGAAAATGTGGAAACAGGCTGTAAAGCTTAGCAACAGGAAAAAGTTATCAGACACACATATATACACACATACACCAGAAAAAGCATTGACACAAATTACAGGAAATTTTATTCTTAATGTTTTCAATAACTTATACATTCACTTACATGAAAAGACCACAAAGTAGAAATTTAAGAATAAGATGGGGGGGGGGGGGGCACGGAATAACTCAACAACCAGAAAAGATTATTAATTTTGAGCTAGCAGAACCCAGGAAAGAAGATGAACATGTTTTCTAAATTGGAACACAAAGGCAAAGAGACATGGCAGAAAAAGCAATAGGGGACATAGAGTATACAATAAAAAAGTAAACAAAATGAAACAAAAATAAAGAGGATCTTACAAGATGTGAGATAAATATTAGCACTGGAAGACAGGCAGTTATTTATATGCAACATGTATATAATTAGACTTCCTGAAAAAAAGAAAAATTTTTTAAAAGAGAAAGAATGTTTGAAATTATAATGCAGTCAAGAAAGCTTTCCTGATTTATATATCTTTACATTGATAGAAAATGACAGAGTAGTCACAATTCAGACATATCCCAGTTAATACTTATCAAAAAAGAATCTCCTGGGACCCAGGTAAAATATTATTATTATTATTATTATAATAACAGGATAGAAACTGATTGATAAAAGAAAGAACTGCTCTAATGGTTGGTGCACACAGACCAGAACAAACATAGTTAATTTTACTATTTTTATATTTTGTGGCAGTAGATTCAACATCTACAAAAAAGCGGGCAGTTAAAAGGGAGATAAAATCAGCTACCTCTGCTTTTTTGAGTAAGAGGTGGAGGAGTGGTGCCATTCTTGGGGTCAGTTTATCCAGGGTTTACTCTGGCCATCTGGACTTGGCTCCCTGGCCACCTGGGATTATTCCATGCAGGGGCTCAAGTCCCTGTACTGTCTCACCCTGAGAGTTGCTCTGAGACTTTGTGTTTAATGCATTTCATTATAGAGTATAAGTGAGTTTTATTCTTCATAGTTGAAATTGCAGGTTTAAAAGAATAGGGAAAGGTTCAATTTCTCCCCATTCTCCTCCCCTACTTTCTTCTATCTTTTTACTTCTAGTGTGGGAATGAAAACAAAGATTAGATGAAAATGAAAAGGGGAATAAAATGCAGAAAACCAGTTATTACACATTCTTCTTATAAGTGTGCACATATTTAATCTATGTCCAGCAGTTCATTGACTCCCAGTATATTCCATAACAAGAAATATAACTTGGTACAAGAATTTCCAAAAGGCTGACTAAAGAAAACCTGCTGCGTAACATTTTAGCTCTCTCCCAATGGAAGCTTTCCTCATTATGGGTTGTGATGAGATTTCTAGGAGAGGGATGCAAAAGACTTAACGGAAAAAAGAAATGAGGCTCTTCCCCCAAAGTAAAATACAAGAAAATATATACAGGATGGCCCTAAGATAGAAATTGATAGAACTAAAAATATGAATCTGAATAAGGTAAACAAAATAAGGAAGGCATACATGTAAGAGATTATCAGGAATTGACTTAGCTCTACAACATCTTAAATGTTAGATATCTGAGATTTTATTTTAACTGCTTTGTAACACTCATTCCTTCAGAAAAAGTATTTTTCTGCCTCACTATAAAAAGTCATGTGTTCTTCTCACAAAAAAGATTTTAAATTTCTAAAATGTAGAATAATTTAAATCATTAGGCTCTGTTATTTCCCATTAGCAAACTGAAAACAGCTAATAATGGTACATGAAATATAATGGACATCTTATTAAAAGCATCACAGAGCCATTAGGGCAGTAAGGAATTATTAAACAAAAAGTGAAGGAAGGCTGAGAACTCAAAAAGGTAAAGAAGCACAGGAGTCACTTTTGTGTAAGGGCAGTGACATACTGACAAGAGCTGATTGTTTAATTTTCAGGGACTTTGCAAATTAGTTGTTAAATATTACCTTATTAAAAGTAAAAGTATGAATATAAAAATAAATTATTTAAAAGATTAAAAACAAAAGTAATACATACTGAAAATGCATCACTTTCTAATAACCACTAAATAACCTTGATAATAACCTTGAGAGTGGTTACTGTCAAGGATAACCACTAAAATAATGGAATCATAGAACAGTGGGACAAATAGAAAATACGAAATATTTTTAAAGCTGAATTGCCTAGAACTCCTCCCTCCCTATCCCTGCGGGGGAAATTAGGAGAGTAAAACCAAATAGTAATAATAAATATTTAGCAAAACTATATGACAGAGTACCCCCATGAACCCCAAAATACAAGCAGATATAAGTAAGCCATCAGCAGTTATGAGACCCCATGGATATCAGCATCTGTATAGAGAAAGCAACAGAAGAAGTCCAAAAGCCAGTTAGTGCTCATTAGAAAATGCAGTGGGCCAATTTGAAAAGAGCACCTGGAAAAATAAAGGTTTTTGCACAATCTGCGTGTGAGTACATGGGATCTGCAAAACGTGTAAAGACACTGGTGGAGTATTCTAGGCCCTATGACACATTTAACCAACTATAGCTCTCTTTCAGTTTAAAACCCCACACTAAAGAAAAAGTACAGGGAATACAATTCAAATTGAGCAGAATAGGGATAATAAAACCAAAGAAAATAGAAGGTTCACATGTCTAGAGGGAAAATACAAGACCAGGGTTGGTTGGAGTGTTGTCCTATGCACCGAAAGGTTCCGGGGTTCAGTTCCTGGTCAGGGCACATACCTAGGTTGCAGGTTTGATTGATCTCTCTCCCCTTCTCTCTCTCTCTCTCTCTCTCTCTCTCTCTCTCTCTCTCTCTCTCTTCCTCTCTAAAATCAATGAGCATATCCTTTGGTGAGGAATTTTTTTTTTTTTTTAAGGATTTGAGAATGACAAATACAGAAAGTAAGCAAAGAATATTCCATATATAATGGGAGTCTCAGGAAAACAACCAAAACAATGCAACGAAACAAATACTAAAATAAGAAAATCTCTCTAATGTTAAAAATTATCTTCATACTATTCAATACATATTAAAAGGACATTCCATGTACCTAAGGTGTTAACTAGCACTGAGAAATAATCTAATGAAATTATTGGAATTGAAAAGGAAAAATTCAGTGGAATTCCAGGCCCCTCAAAAAATGCCTTTTAAAGATAAGAAAATGCGGTCGTCATCAAAACTTCATCAGCAAAGGTTTATAGAAGACAATGGAGTCAGCGTCCTTTTTAAAAATTC